CCAATGCTTTGCCTGAGAGAGAAAATACAGCAACACGGTCTCCCAAACACTGCCAGGTACTCCCCCACCCTAAAACAAATATATCACATGATTCAGCAGTCCCACTTCTGGATATATATACTGGAGAGCTACAAAAAGTATCTGGAAAAGATATCTGTATGCCCAAATTCACTGCAGCATTACTCACAATAGTCGAGATAGGGAAATAAGTGCTCATGAACAGAAGAATGGATAAAGGAACTGTATCTCTATATAATGGAGCTTTAGTCAACTTTAAAAAATGACACCTTGGCATTTGCAACAACATGGATGTAAACTGGAAGACAACATGCTAAGTGAAATTAGGCAGGTACAGAAGGAAAAAAACACGCCACATCAAAAAGTTAATTCTTTAAAAAGGTGCAAGATCTCACTGATACGTAATTTTAAAAATCCAAGTTTACAGAAGCAAAAAAGTAAAACAGTGGTTATCAAGGGTGCAGAGGTGGAGGAAATAGAAATATGCTGGTCTAAGAGTTAAAATGGTCTAATGAGGATTTAAAGTTATTAACATTGTATTAGATACAGGAAATTCACCACTAATGTAATGAAATTTACTCGGTCTAATGTAATGACAAGCTGATTTAAAGTTATTAACATTGCAACAGATACAGGAAATTTACCACATAGATTTCAGATGCTCTCATCACAAAAGAAGGTAAATAAGTGAGATGATATGTTAATTCACTTTGCTCTCAAAATCACTCCGCTATGTATACCAAATCACTGTGTCACACTTCTCAGATGTGTACAAGTCAGACTGAGGAAAAAATCTACCTCAAGAGACCATCAGAGCCCACCCTGCTGCTGCCACCAAGGGGGACCATCTACCTACCAAACCACTCATCTTGCTTTGTGACCTGCAAACTCCTGCTATGGCTCGCTTCAGTCTTTTTACACTAGTGGCCACGAGAAAAACATGGTGTTGAGTGTGTGAACGAGAGTGTATGTACATGTGGCTGTGCATCTCGTTTGTTTTCTGGGCCACGCCCCATAGAGCTCAGGGATCACTCCTGGCTCTGCAGTCATAAATTACTCCTGACAGGTTCGGGGGAACTTTAAGGGGTGCTGGGAATTGAACCCAGGTCAGCCACAAGCAAGGCAAGCGCCCTACCCACTGTATTATTGCTCTGGCCCTGTGTGTGTACTTTAAAAAAAAAATGAAGGTTTTCAATCATTTTTAATATCAAGCGCTTCTGGGATAAGAAAAATAGGAATAAATAAGCCAAAACAAAAGGACCCACAGCAGTAGTGTCCTCATGGAGCCATTCCGCCCAGCGAGCCTGGCCCCAGTGTGTGTGTGTGTGTGTGGGGGGGAATCCAACACTCAACTGGGCAGGAACCTACACATCTATGCATGTACACGCAGCACGGCACAGGGAGCTTTCTTTATGGCTGAAGCCATAGCTGGGCTCTAATCTGGAAGAGAGAGGGGGATGCTTATCTCTCTGATTCTACATTCCCGAGTCCCTTACTGTAGCCAAGATTCCAACATCCTGGTCTTGGGACCATTGTGAATTACAAGCGCCATGTAATTACGACAGGAATGCTTTTCAGGATAGTTTTTTTTGCAGAAAGGAGAGAAAAGACGTTCAGGGCAAATAACTGTTAGCAAGTTAGATGAGCTTTCCATTAATTCTTACATGTTCTTCAGAGAACAGGAGGAGGGCACTGAAACTATGACAGGAGTTCATTCTTCAGGCCGGAGTAGGGACAGCATTTCTCCAGATGCTAACATAATGGTTAAGTCCTGTACAGAAAAGGCTTTTTAAACTGTGTGTGTGTGTGTGTGTGTGTGTGTGTGTGTGTGGCGGGAGGAGTACGTATCAAACTAGACTCTCAAGTTTTCTCTTCATTTGGGGCACCCTGAGGGGAGCAGGCCAGCTCAGGGAGCACCCAAACAGAGCCCTGGCAGCTTGCTCCCATAGTGCAAAATTGCTGCTATACCAATTCCAGCTATACCAACCAGTTAAAAATTCTGGACTTCCTGAGGCAACATCTCCAAACTTACAACACTGATAATCTAGTAGAAGCACTCTAGAATGGATGGGATGTAACATAGAAGGCAACCGATCTCAACTAACCAAACAGTAACACAGAATGCTGAACTGTAACAACACCTTAGTCATCCCTCATTAAAGGACTTAATGTAATGGTACTTAATGGTAAAGAGAAGGTGATAATGGTGATCGAACTGGTGTTGAAATATTGAATGCCTATAGCAAGTCATCATGAACAACTTTGCAAACAACAGTGTTTATACAAAGCGTAGGGGGCAAAATTTACATAAGTAGGCCTACCTACTTCATGTAAACTCCAAAATATATTAGCACAGATTTGCTTTGAAAGTTTTATTAAAGACAGGGAAGACATGATTATTACCATAATGAAATGCAAATATAAAATAAACCTTAGTGCAATATACTTTAAACTCTAAAGGGTTTTATTTACATAGGTTAAAATCATATAGCAATCACAAATTGGCTCTTACTGATTTATCTTCTGATCATTCTATTTGCCATTTCTTAAAGTTTTGTTAAAACAAGTAATACAAAGTCAATTTTTCATGTTCCTAAGGGGGCAAATTAGGGATGGGAGGGAAAATGAGGACACTGGTGGAGGAAAGGTTACACTTGTGGTGTTGGAACCCTAAATGCCTGAAATGACTATATAATGAACAACTTTGTAAATCACAGTGTTTTTATTAAAAATTTAAAAAAAAATCCAGTTCTCTCTCATAAGGGTCTGATTATAGGGTTCACAAACAACTTTAGGAATTTTTGTAAAGTCTGAATTTCATAATGCATTTATTTTATAATCAGAATTTTATAATCATACTTCAAACAAACTCAACTTACTAGATGAAAGTATTTTATCATCCTTTATTTCTTATAAATCTTTTATGATCTCTCAGTATAATGTAGCAGTATTTTTAGGCCAACATTTATTAGCTTTTAAGTAATTTTAAAGTTTTATATCATCACCAACTGAAGCCATGCCATATCAAGAAGTTAAGAAAACTTATATGATCACTGTTCTATTGTCTTTTCCTGATCTTAATTCCAAAGCATTTCCAAATTTTCCTTGATGCTCCTACCTGAAACTTCATTAACAACAAAAAAACTTCCATCAACAAAAGCTTACTCTTTCTGTACCACAGACAGTGAGTTGGCCAAGTAAATGTATCTATAAAGGATATTGGGGGGGGGGGGGTATAAAGTAACAGAATGGGAGACGAACACCCAAGAATAGTTGAGATAAGTACCAGGAGGTCTGCCCCAGGGCTTGGAAGCCGGCCTCACAAGCTGGGGGAAAAGGCAGCTCAGATAGAGAAGGGAACACCAAGTAAAGGATGTTTGGAGGATTCGCTCAGGATGCAAGATGCGTGCTGAAAGTAGACTACAGACGGAACATGATGGCCACTCAATACCTCTATTGCAAACCACAACACCCTAAAGGAAAGAGAGAGCTAAAGGGAATGCCCTGCCACAGAGGCGGGGCAGGGTGGGGGGTAGGGGCTTGGGGGGGGGGGTGAAAGGGCTACTAGGATCATTGGTGGTGGAGAATGGGCACTGGTGGAGGGATGGGTACTTGATCACATATAACTGAAACCAAAACACGAAAGTTTGTAAGTCTACAACTGTACCTCATGGTGTTTCACTAATAAAAATATATAAAGGATATATTTTATAGATACAATTTCTTTAAACCAAGAACATACAATTTCTTTTACAATTTCTATATATTCTTAAAATCAAATATACTGAAGAAAACAAGCACATCGATTCCATGTTAAAAAGATGACATTCAGGGGCCAGAGAGATAGTTCAGCAGGTAAGGTGCTCCTTGCCCGGGCCTGTCAGGGGTGATCTATGAGTGAAGAGCTAGGAGTAAACTCTGAGCACAGCTGGCTGTAGTCAAAATCAAAACATAAGAAGACCATACTCATGAACATAGCTACAAGAATAAATGAACTCTTGCAGTTTGCTGCAAGTAGGAGAGAACTGAATTTATATAAGCAAAGTAAGTCAGAGGGAGATGGACAGATATGAGAAGTCTCACTCATCAAAGGTATATAAAGAAACAAAACAAGGAATGGACAACATTATATGATGACAAACCCTTGGCCGTGGATTACAAAACTAAGATTACCATGTAGTGGAAGGCAAGGGGACTTGGGGAGGGAAGAAGAGGTGGACTAAAAGTGACATAGGGATATTGGTGGAGTGTCTTAGGCACTTTGACGGTGGTAAAACTGCAGTAATTTTGCATATCAAAATCATAAACATCAATACTACTGTAACCATGTTGCTTAAACAATAATGAAAGTGTAAAAATTATTATAACCATTGACCAGTCATCCTCCTCGCTTCTGTTTCCCTGATCTTTGATATTAGTGTTCTACTATTTTTATATACTACAAATGAATGCAGTCATACTATATCTGTTGCTCTCCTTCTGACTCATTTCAGTCAGCATGATACTCTCCATATGAGGGGTGAGGGTAGATAAGACAGAAAAAGGGACCAGTATGACAATAATAGTTGGAAATGATCTCACTGGACAAGAACTGAGTGTTAAAAGTAGGTAAAGGGATATACATGATAACCTTCCAGTATCTGTATTGCAAACTACAATGCCCAAAAAGGCAGTGGGGGAGAGAAGTGTCTGCCATAGAGGCAGGTTGGAGAGGTGGGTGGGGTAATAGGAAGGAAACTGAGGACACTGGTGCTGGGAAATGTACACTGGTGGAGAGAAGGGTGTTGGAACACTATGACTGAAACCTAATCATGAACAGCTTTGTAAGGGGCTATCTTACAGTGATTAAATAAAAAAAATCTATGAACCAATTCATTGTAAAAACTGCTAAATAAAATGAATCATATATATCTATATGTATATATGTATACAACATGACATAACCTTATGAATTGATCATTTAGAAAAAAAATTGTACCTACCTCTAGTAAAGAGGAGTCCAACAAAGCCAGCGAATCCAATAACACCCAGTCTTGGAAAAAATCCAGGTGGTGAATTCTGGAGAAAGTCATAGCTCTCTGCAATAGAATCATACCAGGTAACAATTCCATAAATTGCTCATTAGAAGACAAAACAAGGGCTAGGAGATAGTACAGCATCAAAGGCACACCCCAGGCATATGCCCAACTGAGCTTCAATTTCCAGTACAACATGGTTCCCCAAGTAATATACAACTGGCTTGAGTCCCTGGAGGTCCCCATAACTGCCCAGATGGCCCAGGTAGCCCCAGCACTTCAAGGCCCATGTAGCACTACATCCTCAGGCACTTGTCCTGAACCAACAGCCCAGAGAGGCAAGAATCACTGCTGGGGCCCCTGTAGATCCTGAGTATCACCTGGGAGGTCCCACAACTAACCTTATAATGCAATGGGTACATACAGTACCAAATGCTTTTCAAATAATGTACTTTTTGCTTTCTGTCAATACGCATCCTTTTAGCATATTCTTTTTATGCAATATATAAACACGATTCACAAAGCAGGTTTCTAAAATTTTCAGACACTTTAGGACTGGCAATTCCTGAAGGTAACAATCTGAATCAAGCATCCACATGGACAGAAAAGAAATACAGAGATCACTCACTATCTAAACTCTTGCTACCCAAACACAAAAACAACGGATATGGGGTCAGGAAGATGGCTCCAGTGGCAAAGCAAATGTCTGGTATGGGCAAGGCCCTGGGTCTGGTCTCCTGAAAGGTCCTCCAAGCACCACCAGGTCAGGCATCTCTGTCTCCCCTTCCCGCCAAAACCAGAAAATATTTTAATAAACCTGGCACTTTCTGAAGCTTTGCTGCTGACTGTTCTCCAAAACCCAGGCACCACATGCATTAGATAAGGTAGTGGGGGTGAGGGAAAGCCTCTGTGCCAGAAGTCTGACATTTATGCCTTGTATGGCTCATTTGGTACCTAACCCTACAATACCTTGTGTTTAGTTGCTCAGGAATACTTTGTCTCCTCAAGGAGAATATAACTCAGGATTGGAGAGGCAGTATAGCAGGTAGGGATCTTGCTTTGCACATGACCAACCCAGGTTGGATCCCCAGCATCCCACATGGTCCCCTGAACTCCACCAGAAGAAATTCCTTAGTGGAGAGCCAGAAGTAACTTTCGAGCACAGCTGGGTATTACCTAATGCCCTCGCCCCCCAAACAAAACAAAACAAAACAAAACAAAGAGAATACAACTCCTTCATGGTGAACTATTTCTTAGGCTGTTATTTTCCCTCAGTCCAGAGATAACATAACAGTGGATGCTCATCTAGCAGGTACTTATCAAGAATGCTATTATGGGGCCAGAGCTATAGTAGATTGGGCAGGGCACTTGGCTGGCAAGCAGCTGTCCTGGGTTCAATCCCTGGTACCCCATACTATACCCTGAGCATGTCTAGAAGATTCCTGAGCACAGAGCCAAGAGTAAGCCCTGAGCAGCACTGAGTATGACCCCCACACACCCAAAATAGAAAACAGGAGCTGATGGATACTGACTGAATTAACAAATGGACTGCAACGAGGCATGTGCCTCTCTCAACCTCAAGTTTAGTACACCCCGCTTCTTTTCTCAGCACAGACAACACTGAGTCACCTTCGAAGTATTGATCAGGCTTTAGCTGCTGCGTAGAGCACTGCCCAAGTCCTGCCCTCATGTTCTGATATGGCTAAATCCCTTCCTTCTGTTTTACTTGCATTATTTGTTTTAACAAAACTTTAAGGATTCATTCAAATCCTCCTCTGACTTTCCATGCTCCCAGTCTCTATAAAATCAGTCTCCTTTCTCTGTACCTTCAACAGTGGTCTGGAAGAGTCCCTGAATTTGCACTAGCGTTGAATAATTTATTATCCGCACCTCAGTGCTTGACCACCTTCTTAATCATCAATGCCTGGCATGATGCTGATTTAACAAATGTACATGAAAATGAACTAACTGGAATATTTAGCAATTCTCTCCCCCAGATAATACCAGACATAGCACTGTCACTGTAGCACTGTCCTCCTGTTGTTCATCGATTTGCTCGAGCAGGCCCAGTAACGTCTTCATTGTGAGACTTGTTGTTACTGTGTTTGGCATATTGAATACATCACAGGTAGCTTGCCAGGCTCTGTCATGCGGGCGAAATACTCTCGGTAGCTTGCCGGGCTCTCAGAGAGGGGAGGAGGAATCGAACCCGGCTTGGCCAGACCAGCGGCTTGCAAGACAAACGCCCTACCGCTGTGCTATTGCTCCAGCCCAATACCAGACATATGCCAGTTTTTTCCTTTTCCTGGGTTCTTTGGGAGACATGATCATTTTAAATACTGCTCTAGGGCATGTGCTATTGGCACTAATACCTGCCTGGTTATTTTGCCTTAACCTAAATTTTACTTTCCATCCTCTTGTCTGGGTCATTTGAGGCAACTTCCTACTCCCCTTTACTTTAGGCTACCAATGTGGGGGTTTTAATTCTAAACATTTACTGCACACAAAGCAGTAGTTAGGACACCCAGATGTTCTGGGTGAACTGCACCAAAGCAGGTAGATGAAACATTAAATAGGAAAGAAGCCCAACATCTACTAACATGCTTTGGTTGAGAGCTGAGAAATGGACTGCTTTGGCAAGCAAGACAACTCCTTTATCTGGGGGGAGGGGTGGCACCCAAACAGTACTCAGGGTGTTCAGGAGCCACACCCAGTGATACTCAGCCAATCACGAAAGATGACTCAATGTTCAGGTTTGGCAATATGATACTGCTTGGGCCCAGCAGTGCCAGGAACCACAAGGGCCATGGGCCACACTCAGGAGTGCTCAGTGGTCATGCACCCCTGACCCCGAAGATGTCTCCCTGGACCCTAAGAATGGAAGTCACAGATGAATACATTTGGACAGGCGAAGGTTTGGGCCATACCTGGTGGTGCTCAAGGGCTATTCTTAGCCCTGTGCTCATGAATGACCTCTGGAAGTGCTCAAGGGACCATATGCTTGAGAGACAACCTTATCACACATGTACAGATAAATGATGAGTTTTTTAAACTCCAAATTAAAATAAATTAAGGTAAGAAAGAACCTGGTTGTCAGGAGTATTATGACAGTGATACATACCAATATTTTAAAAGCACTGAAGATTACTACCTGGTACAAACCAAGTACTAAGTAGGTATTTACAAAATAAATAAAATTTAGATGTCACTTGTTAACTTACATGCATAACTAAAGAGAACTGGCAGGTTTTTTTTTTCTTTTTGGGTCACACATGGCAACGCACAGGGGTTACTCCTGGCTCATGCACTCAGGAATTACTCCTGGTATTGCTCAAGGGACCACATGGGATGCTGGGAATCGAACCCAGGTCGGCTGTGTACAAAGCAAACGCCCTACCTGCTGTGCTATTGCTCCAGCCCAAACTGGCAGTTTATGTATATGAAAAAAGTATCTGATTGCCTCAAGGGTGTCAGCACTCTACAATAATCCTCAAAGGGAAAGAAAACAGGCTGAGAATGTAGCTCAGCTGTAGAGCACTTGTGTGGGGCCCTGAATTCAACCCTCAAGCATGAAAAACTCATATTCATTTTAGTCCATCATGGAAACAAGCATTTATATAAACATGATGTAAACTTGCCAAGATAAAAACAAGGGGGATAATATATGATCAGTGTCAAGTAATTCACTAGTTCCTGATTGAAATTACTCAGAACACAGACCATGAATCCCCTTTGAGTTATGTGACAAGTGGATGTGAAAAATGGTGAGGTCGATCAATAAAAACCAAATGAGAAAAATAGTAAGAAAATCACTAATTATGCAGTAAGATCTCTCCTAGGCACCTGAGCCCAGTTCCTTCCTGCCTCTAATATTCTATACTATGTATGAATTGCTGAGCAAATGAATTACCCTGACTCTGAAAACCTACTCATGACTTTCTGTGTGATTTAGGAATATTACACCTAGAAATAAAACTGGAAAATGGGCATTTCCAGTGGAGCTCAGGAGACTGTGTGGTGCTAGGGATCAAATCTGAGACTTTGGCAAATGAAACATGCACTCCAAAACTCTGAGCTGTCTCCCAGGCTGCACGCCTGGAAATAATTCCCTTTTTTCTGCAATGCCAGGGACAAAACCCAGGTCCTCACATGCAAAATATGTATTCTAACACTGAGGCATTATTTCCAGTCCCTGAAACAAATTTCATCATTGTTTTTCTTTTGGGGTCACACCCAGCAATGTTCAGGGATTACTCCTAGCTCTGTGCTCAGGAAAACTCTGGGCAGTGCTTGGGAGACCATATGGGATGCCAGGGATCGAACCCAGGTCAGGCAAGTGCAAGGCAAATACCCTTCCCACTGTCCTATTGCTCCAGTCCGCTGAAACAAATTTAAAGGAAAAATATCCAGTATCACTTCAATTGCTAGCCCAACAATCCTAATGATCTTGAAAAGATGGACCTGACTGTTCAGGGACTCTAGTGCCCTGAAATTGATGAAAACAACAGATTCTCAGTCCAGAAGAATCCACACAGTTCTAAAATGCTACATACAAATTTAAGGAATTCACAGATCTCCTGAAGCCTGTGCAGGGAGTCCTGGTTAGAGTTTAGTGTTAATAAAAAAAAACCTGATGAAACTTAATTAAAAATCAACTTACCAGGGGTTAAGAAGGTGCTTGCCTTGCATTTGGTCAACCACAGTTTGATCCCCAGAACTTCATGGTCCCTCAGACAACTACAGTAGTGACCTCTAAGCACAAAGCTGGGAGTAACCCCCCACACACACACACTCTGGGCATCAATGTCTGTGGCCCAAACCATTCTACCCCCCAAATCTACTTACCAAACCCCAATTGAATGAGCGTTTCCAGCTTGGGCTTAGTCTGGCTATAAATTTCCTAAAAAGGTGACAAGAAAATGAATGAGTTGACTTTTCTAATTAGAAAGTAATAATATATAGAAGACCCTTGAAAAGCACTGGTTGAACTGTGCAGGTTCACTTACAGGCAGAATTTGGTGGATAAAAACAGTATAACTGGAAGTATGTTTTCTCTGACATTCTGTGTAACATTTTTGCTTAGCCTATTTAATTTAAAAATAAAGTTTGCACTATCGTATACAAATCTGTGTTAACCATTTACATTATCAGCAGGGCTTTTGGTCAACACAGGCTATTTGTGGTTAAGTTTGGGGTGCATAAAAAGCTATACACTCAAGTTCTGCACAGGGGGGGTCAGTGCCCCAATCTCTGTGTTTCTGAAGACTTAACTATTTGTCTTTACTGAATAAAGAATCGAGTTATTAATCCTTTTTGAACAAAGGGACATACTATCTCATTTTTTTTATTATAGTTTTTTCTTTGTAATTTCCCCTTCATTGCAAACTGCTAAGCATAACAGCTTATTATTGCCACAGGAAACAAAGATTTTAAGTAGAGAGGGTTCAACAGCCCAGCCTTTACAGGCTACTATTAAAAACTAAAGAAAAACAAACTAAAGATCAGTACTCTGGATCATTAAAGTGGTACTGCTTTCCCCATGACATTGAATCAGTAAGTTTATATGTATATATATGTATATACACACACTTTGCTATGATTTTAGAGCCCATATCTGAAAAATACTCATTTGAAGCAAGAGTGATTAATTTCAGTGAGACAAAGGAATCAGTAATGAAGTTTGGAAAGATGCCTAAATGCTAACGCAAATAAAGCATTATCACTTTCTTAACAACAATAATAAAAAGAGAGTGTATACAAACATTAGGGAGCAAGGGACAGGTAAAAGGTACCCACCTTCTTGAAGTCTACATTGAAGATGAGAAAAGAGATAGTTGGGTATCAGAAGCTATCAACTAATTGCCATTTGGAAAAGGATTTAATTCCCTTAAGTTAGAACAAGTTATGCTACTGCTTTTGTATAGTTTTAACAATAAGTGCTGGCTGTGGGGAGTACAAAAAGAACATTAAAAAACAATGGAATATTGCTTCACTAAATCCCTTATTTTTTTTTTTGCTCATGAAAAAAGAAAAACCAAGTAGATATCTAAACTAACTGCCATCTTCTTCCGCTGGCATAATCTTATTATAAAGAAAAATTAAATTAGTTTTTAAAATAAGAGGCTAGAAAATGCTGAACTGAAAAAGGAGCCTGGAATCAGAAATATTTCTAAAGAAGATAAATCATTTTAATCAAAAAAAAGCTTTTAAATTTTGAAACAGTGCAAATAAACATGTTGATAACTATTCTATTATCTAGAGTGGATTTTTTGTTTTTCTTCTATATCAAGTATCAGACACACAAAAGTAAAAAAGAGCTTAGATTGAAAGCTAAAGAGATAAAGTACTTTTATAAAAGGAGGGAGAGGAATAACAGAAGTTGTGTCTACACGATACAAAAATATTTTCACAAATTTGCTGAAAATCTTCTAGAACAAGAGAATAAACTCTAAATGTTTTACAATACATTCTGTATAATTTTTAGGCATTACATAACTCAGTAAGATAATTTAATAGGATGTCCTAATTTAAACTGCTGATCTAGCTTATTCCTACTATTTTATTTCTAAATTGGAGACTAACACTTTAGCACTGGCATAAACAATGGAAATCTAAAATTCTATAACAAGTTCTGGATTGAGTTTGCATATGTCAAACATTTACATTCTATTGAGACCATACTGCATAACTACGTATTTGCTTTACTACTTTATCATCAATATTCAAAATCAAGGTCAAGTATGGCTCAGGAAAGCATTCAGTAGATTTGTAAACTTCAGCTTTAGATGTTAAAAAAAAAAATCACACAAATGCTTTCACAAAGTTAATGACAAAACGGCTTGATCAACTGTACATATAACTCTTTGGTCACTGAGGCAAATACTTCAGTATTTGAAATATGTAATGCTACCTTTTTTACTATTATAAACTACTTATGTGCTCTATAAGCATTTCTGTTTGAAGGAGTATTGATTTTGTTGAGTTCTTGGGAGAAAGTTTCCCTAATTTCTGTATAATGCTTACACACTGTATCCTTCCCCTACTATAGTTATCACACATTTCTTCCCCATTACCAGCAGACGGGGTAGTTAGTGGCCCTCTGCTCTCTCTAGTGAAGGCAGCGCACACTGCCCAGTAGGAAGGAGAGTCTGCAGCTCTGAGAAGAGCTGCCACCAGGACGTGAGGCTCTCTGTCCCCTGCAGGGATAGCAATGACGAACATTTCCAAGTCAGGTCCTTTTCTGAAAACATGCAGACATAGGTTTCTCACCACCCAGTCTATACAGAAATGCATTAACTCCACTTTCAGAAGAGCCGTACCTCACACCGTCTTACATATGGCTCACAATGATGTCGAAGATGTGAGAAGCTTTCTTCGAGTTGGGTCTTTGTCTCTTCCACATATTTAGACTGACCCTCAGGAATGGTGTAGAGTGAAAGCTGCTCACATTGAAAAACAAAAGAAAGAGAAACAAAGGAGATTATACATGATGAAGTAACAATACACTCTTAGATTTGTAAACATTTTATTTCTATCAATTTACAAACTACAGTGTGTTTTTTGGGGGAAGGGTTGTTTGTCTGGTTTTTGGTCAAACAGGAAGGTGCTCAGGAGTTGCTCCTGGCTCTGCGCCCAGGGGATCACTCCTGGCGGGCTCTAGGAGACCATAAGGGATGCCACAGGGATGCAATCTTGGTCGGTCACGTGGAAGGCAAGCACCCTACCTACCGCATTATCACTCTAGCCCACAAACTACAGTGTCTCTGAAGGGTTACCTGCATTCTGAAGCCTATTTCAAAAGGTTTTTGTAACCTTATTTCCTTAATACAGGTGCAGTCCAGAAGGCAGGGCCATTGGGGTCCTACCCTCACCCTGTCTCTAGAAGAACAAAATAGTCACACTTTGGGTTGCTTAGATTTGGCTTGAAATAAAAGGCTTGTATTTTTCGAAAGGGTAAATGAAGATATACATCTTGACAGTAACTGGAGAGCAAGTTACTTAGTTCAAATGTTCAGTCTGGTCCCACCCAGTCAAAAAAATCTTTTCAGAGCCACTACTGGCTTCTTCTTCACCCTCAAAAATGCCACTGGCCCAAGGCCTGAGAAGAGAGAAAAAGGGCAAAGATAAGCTAATGAACTTTATGTAAACACTGCTCAAGTAACCTAGTCCAGAACTGTAGGTAGATCTCTGTCATTTTATTCAAAGTCAACAGAAACCAACAGTCCAAAATAATCACTGGGGAGTACAGACAGAAAAGAATGTAAACAATGGAGAAAAGACTTCTTGTTTTATTTGCTTAGTATTTATTAAGTATCTACTTATGAGTCTCTAATCTAGCCAAGAAGCAAAATGAACCCAGGCCTTTATTTTCTTATGAGAGGGAAAAATGCAAATGTTTTCTTGGCCTGATAACAGGCTAGAATTGGGCAGATCACTTAGACGGAAACTGAGCTTACCAACCACAGACGCACAGCACATTCTCAGCGAAAAGTCTAGGAAAAATTCCCCAATTATGCCCTTCACTAAGGTCATTAACTAAAGTTTATCTGTTGAAATGCCATACTTTAGTAGTTTCATACACACACTAATTCGAAGGAAATATATTCCTCCTTTTAAATGTCTCCTAAATTGTCATGTTTTCCTGATACACAAGTTGTACATTAGCATGTATCAACTACTTTCTACATTAACCAAATCAGATGTTCAAAATATACCACAACATGAACAGCAGGTTACCTCATTAACCTTCAGACAGGCTTTGGCGGGTGGGTCCTTTTTGGAGGATGCATAGACTTTGAAGGTGAGCAGACTAAAGCTGGCCGGGCCCACAGACTTCTGAATTACCTGAAACATAGAAGCAATCTTAAGCCTTTTCTCAACACTGGAAACTGAATGTACATATGTAAGTATATTCATAACCTCAGTCACTCCTGCCCAGAAAGGTTCATTGTGCTTTATGAAAAATAAAGGTATTCTTGATGTTTAAAAAAAATAGGGGCTGAGGCGATGGCACAGTAGGTAGGGTCCTTGGATTGCACGTGGCCAACCTGGGATCAATCCCCAGCACCACATTAACAGTCCCCTGAGCCCACCAGGAGTGATCCCTGAGTGTGGAGCCAGGAATAAGCCCTGAGCACTGCTGGGTGTGCTCCCCCCCAAAATAAAACCTTATAATTGAAAAAAAATTTAATTTTCATAAGAACTTAAAATTTTGGTTAATCTTTATCTTAATATCCAAAAGGCTGAAGTTTTACTACTTTGCTTTTCAAGTTAAAATAATATAAAGTATATGTACTTTCAGAAAGAGAAAATGCTATGGAATGAATTTTACATCACAAAATAACCTTAATTAATTTTATCTTCTCCCATTCACACCCCCTACCTGGCTATGGTGTTGACACCATCTGCTCCCAGGCAGATTCTTTTTTGTTACAGGCCTGTCCTTTGTGCTACCACGAGATTGGCAATACCCTGACCTCTACCCACTAGGTGCCAAGAGCAACACCAGTCATGACTCAAAAACATCTTCCCTTTCTTGGGGCCAGAATGACAGTACAGTGGGTATGAGTTTGATCCCCGGCACCCTATATGGTCCCCTGTGCACCACCAGGGGTAATTCCTGAGTGCAGAGCTAGGAGTAAGCTCTGACCATCACTGGGATGGCCCCAAACAAAACAACCCCCCACAAAAGTCTTCACTTTCTGGGGGCCAGAGAATAGTACAGTAGTTAGGGTGCTTGCTCTTTGCATGCTGCAGACCCAAGTTTGATTCCTGCTATCCCATATGGTCCCCCAAACCCTGCAAAGAGTGATCCCTGAGCACAGCTGGGTATGGTACAAAAACAAAAGAAAGTCTTCACTTTCAAAGATCTCCTGGGGTACAGCTTTGCTCACTGAAAAGTACAGTTTACTCAAGTAACAGTTTCTAGCATCTGTAGCATTAAGCAAATCTGTAGGTTTTTTAATTCATGGACTCAAGACCATAACTGCTTGAAGAAGTGGAGGCAGTGGAGAGCTTACTGGAAAGAGGCACAAGGAAACTTCCTGAGCTGACAGAAATGTTTCATAGCAATGTTAACCAAAGTGGGTGAAAGCGCCTATTTCAGGGGTGCTGCGATGAACCAGGTGGTAGTAGGCTCAGATGCCACTGAGGGATGATTTCTGTTTGTTTGCTTAAAGAAGGTAAAGGTAGATCTGGGGGACTTTTTTCTGAAAAGGGAGCAGTAAGCCATATAAGTTAGGGAACCTCAGCTCCAAATAGTGTGCACCATGGCCTGAGCACCTCAGTCCCAAGTGATGCTATAAGAATCCTTTGCCAGGCTCATTCCCCACCCAGGGCAGCTGACTTGACTAAGAAAAATGGGTCCCACCTTCCAAGCATTGATCAGACATGCTCTACTTTGGGTTAATTGAGTTTGGTGTACTAGACCAAAGTCAAGATCACACTGTTAACAGCGGCATCTTCAATGGATGTGAAGCCATATCAAAAGACTAGAACCAAAACCCCAGACCCGAAAGCTACTTAGCTTTAGATCTGGCATATCCTCTGGAGTGCTCCCTTCAGCTATTAGATGTCTCTGCTAGAATTCAGCTCACTGGGAGGGATGGGGTGTTAGCTCTTAGGAAGGACTCCAATGTGCTGATTTGTCTGAGGTTTTGCATGTAATGATACAAGACCCACAGTCTTAAGGAAAATGAACTGTGGCACAAAGGTGAGCTGGTGATGCTTAGCTTCACACAACTCAGAAGTGCCACCGAGTTTCCTCGTGTGACTAGAAGTTCTTGCTGTCTGTTCCCCAGAAAGATATCTAATACTCTCCTATCAACATCTAGTCTCTATCTTGGACCTTTGGACTCAGATTTATAACTTTTATTTTATATAACTCAAAGGAGCAGGATGGCATCACAAAAGCTGGTTAGGGAAAGTTCCCTTAAGATCAATAGAGACATCATGGAGACTGAGCACCAGGACTGACAGTTGGTTGAGTGGAACCCTAGCAAGAAATGCGGCAGGCTGGCACTGAAGCTGACCGAGTACTAATGAGAGCAAAGCAAATCTTGGTGAGATAAGCAGAGTTGTACTAAACAATCCGAGGAGGTCAGCTAGAATTTTATTTCAAAAAACAAATGTTGACTGCATACCTCCTCCAAGTCAGGCACGGTGCTAAACGTGACAGTTAGGCAGACGTGGTCCCTGCCCTTTCTGAGTTTCCAGGAATCTTAGGAGTTTACTCAAAAGACTTGGGTCACAATTTTTGAAATAAGAATTCCTTTTCAAAACAGACTCATAGGAAGAGTGAGTGTCACCTTCAGTGCCAGCAGCCAGGGCAGTCTTGGCATAGTCAACCTAGACAGGACTCTGTTGACATAAACACCAGGTCAAAACGGGTACGCAGAAGGCCAAACTGTGCTTGTGTGCATTCTCCAGAATTCTGTAGCTCCGGGACCACTTTCTGATTGTGTCCCAGGAAAACTCTTTAAAGATAAATAACTAACTTGGGTAACATAAGTCACCCCTCAGAATTACTCAAGGACTCCTCCGAATAACGGGGGCTCAAGTCCCTAACAAGTTGTTTTCCTCTCACTTCCATGGGGGATCCAGAATAGAATCTGTCCCACTTCTAAGAAGAGTGACTCTATTCTCCTGTAATGACAAATCCACTGTCTTATTAGGCAAGCGGGCTATATTCCCTGGGGCACTGGAATGATCCAGAGGGGCAGAAACAGCCTCCTTCCACTGGAGGCTCTTTCCATTTGTTCACTTAAAGGTTTGTTTTCTGAAAAGGGGCCGAATAAGTCAAATAAGCCTGGGAACCTCTATATGAGACCCTCCATTTAAAATATATACCATTTTCCTTTTCAATAATTTGTAAGCCTTGATTTCAGGCCTAAGTACAACAGACGTTTCACAATCCCATTTGTAACGTCTCATAGAGACTGTACCTAGTGAAACACATTTGGAGGGAGAGGCTTTGGGCTACTCCTGGCTCTGTGCACAGGGGGTCACTCTTGGCAGTGCTTAGGGGACCATATGTGAGTCCAGGGACCAGGAACCAAACCATGGTTGGCCATATGCACGACAATCATCTTAAACCCTGATCTTGCACTACAGTCCCCTAATTTATAGCATCAGTCTGTTGGGAACTTGGGGAAGATTTTTAGAAACATAGTTTCCAACACCCTCCCAAGACTGTCTGACTCAGTAAACCTAAGAGAGGTCCAATAATCTAGACCTACAATCAGTCAAGTTCAGAAGACCTCTATTCCATAGGTAGATTTTTGGGGAGGAGTCTTCAACTTAAATTTATATAAAAAACTCAAATTAATTACTTTCAAAAAGTTGTTTTAGGGAGCTGGAATACAGTGGGTACGGCATTTGCCTTCTGTATGGCAAATGCAGGTTCAATCCCCGGCATCCTATATGGTGCCCTGAGCACAAAGTCAGGAGTAAGTCCTGAGCACTGCCAGGTATGGCCCCAAAACAAAAATAAAAACATTGTTTTAAGGAAATAAATTAGAATTTACCTAAGCAGAAAACAAAATATGTGACTGGCCACACACTGGAAAAGCTATGGGCTCTATTCACATTCAGGGGAGTTGGGGACCCCACACAGCTGTGCTCATAGCTTATTCAAGGCTCTGTGCTCAGGAATCACTGTTTGCAGGATTTGAGAGATGCTATGCAATGTCGGGGAGAGAACCCAGGTCATACAAGGCAACCACCTTACCCACTGTATGATCTCTCTAGTCTTCAAGAAAAATCTTATGGTGTAATAGCACTGCCAATATAAAACACTGACTAGTTTAAAAATAATTAATTTGGGCAAGAAACATAGTACAATGGGTAGGATGTTTGCCTTGCATGTGACTGACCCAGGTTCAATACCTGGAATCCCATATGGTCCCCTGAGCACCGCCAGAAGTAAGCCTTGAGCACTACCAGGTATGTCCCCCCAAAATAATTTTAATTTAGGAAAAAAGAAAATCATTTGTCTTAAAACACAACCAATACCCACTAATCCTAACTCCCCTATCACCCTATATCTCTCTCCACTGACAAATGTATTTTAAAATTTAAAAAAAATCAAAGAGTGGGAAATTTAAAATCAAATCTATGTATCAATCAGAATAGTTTTAGGAGCACACAGAAGGAAAAAAGTCTAATTAGTACTCCAAACTAGAATATATATTATAGAACACAACCCAAGGTTTCAAAATTTAGATAATTTCTTAGTAGCAGGCTTTAAAGATCAAGAAAATTAATTTGGTACATTATAATTATTTTTGATTGGTTTTGGGGCTACATCTGACAATCTCCAAGACTTACTCCTGGCTCTGTGCTCAGAAATCACCTCTGGTGACTTTCAGTGTACTATATGGAATGCCGGGGTCAAACCCCGGTCAGCTGCATGCATGTCAAGCACTTTACTCACTGTACTATCTCTCCAGCCCCTATATTTAATTTTAAAATAAAATTTTATAGCTTCCCTAATTGGGATGTAAAAAAAATTCTATTAATAGAATTCAATACTCATGTCACTTTATACTATGCCTTTAACCCTTTGGTGTTTCACTAATAAAAATCTAAAAAAAAACCCTTCTATGTGTGTGAAAACATGTTAATTCACATGTTAATTCATGTAAGTTAATTTACCATCTCATACCTCTGAAAGATAACCTCTATTAGGTGATACTAATTCATGTGAATTTTCCCATGGAAAACCACTATAATGAACAATATATGGAGAACATATAAGCTTACAAGGTATGGAGACTATCTGAATGGAGATGCTATTTATAGTAACTTCATAATGGTGCTATAAGAAATGAAGTATACAGGGTATC